TATTTTCTCTTTATTTTGCTCCATGTTTGCGACGCTATAACTCACGAATGACTTAAAAGAAACGACAATCAATCAAATACTTGTTAGCGCGGGAAATGAGCTTTCCAAAAAGTTATAGCATGACCCAATGCGACGAATAAAACTAGAAGTACGCGCTCTCAGCGCCAACTAGCGAAAATACCGCAAGACTTTTTTGACGACCTAATATTTGAGTGTTTCTGCTATTAGTTTCGTAAAAGTCCAATGTAAATGAAAAAGTAAGGTGACATCTGATTTCATGCACTGTCATCAGCTTAAAAAAAAAACTTTTATAAAACTGTTTTTTTTATTTCGCATGACCTCCTTTTTATTCAATTACGTCTTTAACACGAATTTCCATCTAAGCAACAATTTTTTGGGTAGTTTCCCGGGGGATCTCATGCCATTCCTCGACCAACTCAATTTTAGTTCGTGCAGATTACTAATCTGCCTTTACCGTATCGCTGAGTCCAAAATTGTCCACAAATTTGCAATGACGTTTAAGTCTTTGATGCGCGGTTAAGGAAGAGAAAGTCACATATAAACTGCACAAAATAAGCTGTGGACTTTTGTTTCTCAGAAATACTTTTTCGACGGCTTTACTATAAGAAGCTAATTTTGTTGGATACTATGTTAACTATAACGTATTTCATTTTACAAATATATAGCAACAATTTCGGGTTTAATTCTTTTTTGGTATCATGGATGATTTTTTCTCTATAATGCTCAAACTTCCGATGTTTTTTGGAAAATGGAAAACTTTTTTAAAAAATTAAAAACTTCGATTCTGCTTGTGGATTATTTTTATTTGGTCTTTTAAATTTGTTTACATCAAGTCGAGAATATAATATCATGTAAATGGCCGCCGCCACAGTTGATTGTCATTTGAGTCTTTTTTATGGCATTTTCCATCACTTTGGCAAGAACTTCCGGCGATAGGTCACCACATTCTTGATAGATATTGTCTTTAAGAGCTACAAGAGTCTGAGGCTTGTTGACGTAAACCCGCGACTTCAAAAAGCCCCACAAAAAGAAGTTTGGAGCGGTCAAATCAGGCGATCTTGTTGGCCAGTGCAAATCGCCAAAACGGGAGATTAGGCGCCCGGGAAATGCATCCTTCAGTATATCGGTTGTGGCACGCAGTGTAGCGTACCATTGTTTATTTACGTATATTTCGTATATGTTTACTACACAAATGTCAAAATAGAACTGACATTAGAGGTCAATTGCAAAATTTATAGTATCTTCTGACTTTTGCGCCACCCTGTGTATGTGTACTTTATAGAGTCTCTTCTGGGTGTTACAAATTCGTGGCGAACCTTACTTACCCTGTTCAGGATATAAATTGGGATGTTATAGTTGTCTAGAACACAACAAAATAAAGACATACCGAGCTTCTGTGAACCCCTATGCATATATTCTATTATTTTAGACGATTTCAGCTCATCATTTAAAAACTGTAATCAAAGCGAACAAATCGAGATGTCTTCTGCAGAAAGGAATCTCTTTCTGATCAAGTACTGTAATAATATTGATAATACTGAGGTACAACAAAGTACAGAAATATCTATGATACTCAAAACTACTTTCATAACCTCCTTTCCTTTCATGTTCATTTTCTTTATATGTATGTATATTGAACATACACTTCTCTAAGTTTTCTCATTTCATCCGCACTTAGAACGACAATCAAACCTCTTCAACTAATTGCAATCGTTTATCGTCGCACCGAAAATGCATCGGTTCTAGAAACCATTGTTCAAAACATTCAAGAGACACTTGGCAAAAGGTGGGAGTGTGCGTGCTCCATAATTGAATTCACTAGTGGGAGGTGAAGTGACGAGCATGTACCAGATATGCCGTAATGGGGTTATTTGTGGTGTTTAATGACATTATTTCCAATTCATTAGCAAATGAGCGTCAGCTCGATGTATTGTGGTGGTAAATGTGATGTGTATGTATGAATATGGAATGAAGGGAGCACGAACTTTGCGGCTAAGAGAGGTGACAATTGATGCATGTCAAATGAGTAACGGGTTTATGTAGGAATGTAAATAACTGTAAATTAATTAAACTGTTTAACAAATATTTTTATAMAAATAAATAAATAATTAATATTTCAAATAAGTGTCTAATAATCTTAATCGCTCTTTTTCTTTACAGATACGCAAAAATCGACAAAGGAAGTTCTAGTCTGAAATAGTGAAAAGTGCAGTGATTTATAGTGAAATTTTAGTGAAGTAACAAAGTGTTTTCCACACGAAATATTTGTTTCAGAGAAAAGTGTTTTAAGTTTCTAAAATTTTCGTGTAACCCAAATATTCCATTGTGCTGGTGCAATTTATTCACACATGTAATATTAATTTAAATTCTTCCCGCTTTACCCAGCTATAAAAGCAACATAAATGTGCCAGTGTTGAAAATCGAAGAAAAAATACCGACAAACAAGTGTTAAATTAGTGTTCACATACTAAAGTCTGTTCGCAATATTGAAATATATTGTGGATTAACATTTGGATAGAAAATATTACAACAACAACAACTAAGCGTACAAACAACGACGCCAACGTACAGCTACAAAAGCATCAGCGAAAACCGTAAAATGTTGCCGCCACCGCGTTTAAACGCCATGAAATGGTTAACCCTGCTCGCAGCCATCGCTGCCTTCTGTGAGTATATGTTTTGTTTGTATGTAGAGAATGTTATATTTAAACATGTGCTACTGATGTATCAGCCTATTTATGAGGCCCGTTTCCTGTCTGCAGATTGAAGAGAATATCGAAATTGTGCATAGTTCAATTTTTCCGTATTCCTTCTGTATATTTCAGCAATTTTCTACGAATTTCCAATGGTGTAGCTGGCATCAAAAGCTTTTAGATGAATTCTTCACTTCGTCATTCCTGCTTTTGCAAGTAATTTTGAATTTGCAGGCATAATATATACATGCCTTAAGTGTTTAGGGAAGGTATTTGTGTTTCGAAAAGTTTTAGTGGTTCAGAATTTGTATGGTACTTCTCAAAGCTTGTATACTTTATATGTTCCTCAAGCTCATGTATAATTCAAATTGTTTTATTTTTCCCTGCTGATCGAAAGAAATAAGAGCAACACTATTCATTATTAGCAGTGTAACTGACGCGCTTTTTGGTTATCGCATTCTTTAATAAAATCATTCATTCGATTTTCCGAAGAGACGCACACAGAATGGACGCCTTAACCTAAAATTCTACTTCGCAACTTTTTGAAGGCGGGCCAATACCGATTTTCGCGTAGTACATTGTAATAGTAATAATATTTTTCTGAACAGAGTATACTAAGTTTGCCACGATGTTTGTAACATCAAGAAGGAAACATATATCATGACAAAATGTACCTGGAAATTGAAAATAAACGTAATTCCCACCAGATGTAATACACTTAAGGCAAAGACTTTTCTAATTCTCGAAACACTTTTCATATGCACTTTTTGGGATGATCTTCAGATCCTTCAGAGAGTTTTGTTTTATTTCTTCGATCGGCTGAAAACGGATTCCATGGAGTTGCAATTTTAGTTTGGGAACAAGAAAAAGTAACTTGGAGACAAATCTGCTGAATACAGTGGTTTTTCGATGGTATTCATTGCGTTTTTGTCTTTAAATTCCGTCACAATCGTGGCTCGATGCGATGGTACATTATCATCGTCTAAAATTCCACAATTCCGCCCGATTTCGACGGATGTTCTCATGCAAACGTCTCAATACGACTAAATAGAACTCCTTTTTTTTGATTGGCTTTGGCGTGGGTTTTTTTGTTTCAACTATTTTTCCCCCCTTACATTCTCTTTGAATGTGGGATCTAATTTCGAAGAGACTTGTTTACGCCATTCTTTTCTGAACAAAATTCTGCTTTATCGGGACGAGTAGATCAAGATCGCGTTCCATACCAAAAAATTCGAGCGGTCTCGCGAGAGATGTCGAGCACTCTTGTCATCTCTTTAACAACTGCCTGACGATTCTTAAGCACCATATCCTTAATTTTTTTTTAAATATTTTCATCAATTTAAGAGGTCGAAGTGCGTCCAGAACTATGCATGTTCCATCTGAAAATTTCAACACATCCCGTTTTCACCAATAAGCTGCTGATTTTGGGAAACCGCCGATATCGGACAACTATAATAGATAGTTGCCATACAAATGTCCGATCAAACTCAAGTCCTTTCATGGAAAATTCTTTTATTTGTGAAATTTGGAGATTACTGTCCAAAATACCTCTAAAGTTTCCTAATATATCATAACATCACTTACAGCTGTATCCAAACTTAGAGGGTATTATTTCGATGCAACCGAAGTGAACGTTTCCTTTTTCTTTAATAAAAAAAATAAGATATATTAAAAGATGTTTTAATAACAAATAAATGTCTTGCTGCCCTAATTTTATACCGAAATTCATTGAGAATTTGTAAAAATTTATGTATATAAGCAAAATGCATTTGCACAAGGTGCAATCGCGGCGCAAAGTCACCGTTACCCATTTCTACCAAAACCACAATCACCGGTTACGATGTCTTTCTCTCTAGTTATCAAAATAAGCCGGTCGCCTTATAAAAACCCATGTTCACAACACACCTACAGATTCATCCACATACTTATGCACATATATCATTTTATATAAGCATGTTGCAACATCCGAAATGCATATACCGTCAGCTACTCATAAAACCGTTTGAATGACGGATGAATTGGTGGATTTGTCGCTGTCGTTTTGTTTTACAAGCGATTATCTTGACAACCTCTGCTACACATTTTTGGGCTGCATGCTCGGTCTGCTCCCTACCCACGTGCCCCATCTGCCGTTTTGCATAACACCCCCTCGCACTGGTACTTTCGTTGCTTAGCTCTTTAGTGTGCTATTTGTTTGATAGCCTCAATTGTGTTAGAAATCTTTCATCGTGCACTCAGTAAATGCATGAGGGCTTTTCCTTTTTGCGCTCTGAACGCCATATAATTTGTAAGCCATACATACATACATTCATCTAAGGCACTAGTCTACTCGGTGCACTCATGTGGCGTAGATAGTACGAAAGCATGTATGGTAAATATTTGAAAATATGTAGGTGCATATGTAAATATGTACATATGTATGTATATTATAGACATATATGGTTAGTTCCACCAAATGTCGTTTTAATCTGTGGAAACTTGAGAAAATACTTGAAGTTGGCAAGTGTTGCACAGCTTCGCTTAATTCAAGAAAATATTTATCAAGAGCCAGCAAACGAGTGCATGGGCGAGACATTAATACGTACATATGTATGTATGTATTTGTTTTATAAATAGAGCATGTGATATGGCTGTGGAAATAAATGATGCTGGAGTTTTTAAATATTTACAACAAATAAGACGGTCTATTTTCAAAGATTTATATTTTTAGTTGTAGTGGGACGTTACAAAGTACAATGTATGAACTCGAATTTTACAAAGCTATGAGCGAGCAGCTGTTGCTTTTAATACAGTTTTATTTTTATTTTAAAGGTTTTTTTAAATTTATAGTGAATTCGGTAATTTTAGATTCGGTGAAAATGTATACTATTCTTACATACTTCTATTTTTGTTTTATCTCCTCGATCGACTTCCATGGAACTGCAATTTCAGTTTCGGAAACAAGACGAAGCCAAATCTAATGAATACTGTGGTTGATCGATGATATTAATTGCGTTTTTGGCTTTAAATTCGGTCACAATCACACTCTTATTAAAGCAAATTTAAGCTTTATCGGGACGAGTCGAGCAAGAACGCGTTTCATATCCAAAATATCCACCAAAATCATTCGATCAGATTCGCGAGAGACATCTCTCTTGACATCTCTTTAACACTTGTCTGACGATTTTCAAGCACGAATAACATTGTCTCTTTTAATATTTTTTTCAGTTGAAGAGGTCGAGGGCGTCCAGAACGAGGCATGTCTTCAAGATCTCTCGACCGTCTTTGAAAGCTGTGTACTACTCCTAGACTTGTGATTTTGATAAAACTTAATCACTGCAGTGTGTTCCAATGTGACAATGATTCCTCACACGAAATTTGGTTAGAAATACAAAATTTTAGTCAAATTCTTTGTTTCATATTTTTATTTGGAATTCCATTTACCAGTGCCTTTTTGTCGCAACAAGTAGACTCTGCATTGAATTTCGTCGTCTGGATGATAAAATCTCCTTTTATACTTAACATTTCCTAAGTCCGTTCAATTCCCTAGTCAATTTAATATCAGACTCGGTTTTGTATGAACATTTTGGTAAGCAAAATGCTAAAAAATTAGGAAGAGTAGAAACGTTGAAAGTATTTGGTCATAAAACAAGTCAAGAAGTCTTGAGCTTCGTGTTTACTAGATCATTACTCACTGTTGATTATTTACTTAACTCATATTAATTTTGTAAATATACTTACGTTCATCACTGATTCGAGCACCATAAACAGTTTTTACTAAGAACTTTTAAAAATTCCAGCGACAAAATATTATTCTCAGAAACTTTTTTTATTTTTATTGAAAAAGTTCCAAATTTCAAATCACTATGTTTAATCACTTAATTGAGATAATCAAACTTTGTCGCAGAAATTTTTAAAGTTTGAAAGTCAACTATCTGAATATGTGATCGTTATTTTTGAGAAACGAAAATTATTTGGTGATATTTTAGTTTGAATGAAAAAACTAAAATTTATATCTTGAATGTATGGGAACCTAAAAAAAAAAAAAAATAGCGACCCCTTAGAGTTAAGCTACAGCGCCTGGCGTGAGGGAGGATTTTTTGTTTGTCAATCACTAACATTTGATTGGGTAAGAGTTGAAAAAAAAATTTAAAAAATTTTTTTAAGCTCCCTAATATGTATTATTCACATAGCCATATGTACATATATATATATTTAAGTAGAAAAAGTACAACAATGAAATTTATTGTTCTGCCAAAGTTAACCAAACTAAAATAGGGACGCAGAAGCAAGGAGATAAGCAAGGCATAGTTTATGCTCATATCATTAAAAAAAAAAATTAAGCACTGTGTACCTAGAGCTTTTCTACCATTCCCACGGTTGTATTTGAGCAGCGTTCGTTTTAAGTATTATATTTAAACATAAAAGAGGGTTTTAAAGTGACTTGTTTGGCAAAGAACGGCGGTAAGTCATAAAGTAGCGAAAGTGCGCGTATATAACTGCTCGTACTTTGGTGATAATGACATTCTTGAGTTATTACTCAACTATGCCTATACACATAGGTAATAAATTGCAGGAGTTCATTTTTAGCTTTTAGCACCCTTCTTAGCAAATTTAATGCGTAATTCTACGAAATTTTAGCTACATTTTTAGCTTCCTTTTATTTGACGATTTATGTGGATAATTAACAATTTTTATTTAAGTCGTTGCTAAAAGGTTCTGATGTTTTATAAGACTAATTAAATATTATATAATTATACATTAGTATATAAAACTGTGTAGGAACATTCGGAATTAATGCTAATATAAAGGAAAAAATAGTTTATGAAATCTAATTTAGTAAGAGCGCCTAATATTTTTTTACCTCCGGGAAGCTTGCGACAAATACATTATAGTTAAATCATACTAAAGAACCAGAGATGCGAAACTACTACTCAGGCCATGCAGCTGTTCGCAAACTCATTCTCAGAAATCCCCTTAGAAAACAAAAAATT